TAACAGAAAATGGTTTGCTGTTTTAGACTACTGTCCCATCCCACCCTGTGGGTTTTGAGAGAGATCAATCTTTTTCTGTCTCCTGAGTCACGTTACAGATAAGACAATATTATGCAATGGCTACTACTGAGAGTGAAGGAGATAGGAGATACTACTAAGAGTGAAGGAGAAAAGAAGATAAAAGATAGAAACTGGAGAGACAGACAGATAAACAGATATATAAAAACAACGCAAAGCAAAAATGGTTCACCACTTCTCGATCCAGCGATGTCTTGGTAGTGCTGATCTTTGGCAGTGGTGGGTTGTCCGAGGCTATGGCAGTAAGCTGTCGAATAACTATGATGAAAGTACGTACTCTTACTTATAGTCCAGAGTGGTTGAGCCTGCTCTTTTGAATTGACAGCTTCTGGCTTCAGGGGATCCCTGCACGAACTCTTTTTCCAGTTTTCCATGCCTTGCAAATTTAAATCGGCAGGGAGAGGAGGACTCAAGGAGATGCCAGCTTGTATCTTGCCTTCACAGGACACAATGGTATCATCTCCCAATCTCTTGTATCAGGCTGGAAACAAGTCTTCAGCCAGAAAACACTCTTGGACCCTCCCCTGCAAAGGCAAACAGCTCTAAAGAAATGCTTTCAAATGTAAAACTGTCCACAAAGCGTTTCGATTGTCTCGTGATGATTTGAGACAATGCATTCTTTACCATTCTCGGACAGACAGATACCATCAGCTCCTATGGAAAAACAAATGTAGGAAATATGGGGAAATAAAACAGGTGTTTTTTTTGTTTTTTTTTTCCCAAACTAGTACAGTTTACCAACCTGAAATATTTGCCTGTGCTGAGTCAAGCCTGCAAATGTCAAACCGGCATGCAAATAATCAATTCTTTTTTCTTTTAAAAAGGTTTCATTTTAGTTGCCATACATTTTTTAAGAATAATGAAAAAAAACCAACCCTGTATTTTATTTGAATGGCTAGAAACGTACTTTAAATATGTTCTTTCTGTAATCAGTGCACCCTATAAATTGAAGTCACTTTTATTACCTTCCATGACTTTCATAACATCTTCATCTTCCTTCCCTCTGTACCTCTTTATTTCAACAACTTCTACTCTTCCACGCCTAGAGGGAGAGGTAGCGAGTACCTGGATCACTGAGTGTGATTACACAGCTTTAACACACCTAAAAAGAGAAAGCTCCTGGCTTACTAACAGGTCAGACAGAAAGTCAAGTATATAACTCACATTGAAACCTTAATTTTCAGTAGGATCATTGCATCAGTTTGCATATCTCCTCTTGGCAAACCATAGTCTTCACAAATTTGTTCAAACCTATTTCCCTCCTTCAAACACTGTGCCAGTGTGCTCCTCCTACTCCACCCCTCCTGCTTCCTTCCCTCAACTCCTTCCATTGACCTGGCCTCGTACCCAAGACCTTGCAGGATGGACAGTGAGGAACAGTACCAATAATGTTCTTGCTAAAACACATTAATGACCACAAATCTGTCACAAACAGAGGGGCTGAAAGAACTGATAGCAGAAACCTGGTTCAACAGCTGAAGTCCAATTGAGCACACACCTAAAAAGCAACTTATGACTATGAATCAATTATCTTATTCCTTAAATAGTGAGCAGCCTCAAGGTTACCCCTATACAGAGATTCCTTATACCTTGATGCCTTGCTGATACAGATCCTCAGTAAGTGATGAATGTTTTACGCTTTGCTAGCCTCACTAAGATCACATTTTAGATAGATTGTAAGCTTTGTTAGCTTCACTAAGATTACAGGTTATTTGTGCACATACAGCCTTATACATAAACTGTTGGTCAAGTCTGGGACTAGGAGTGACAATAAATAACTTATGCCAATCTTGTTCTGTATGACACTGCTCTCTCAAACCAACTACTACATCCTCTGCTGAGTTCTCTACCAGCTAAATAGCATTAGATGCACCCAGTGATTTTGGATGAAGAACTCCCAAATCAATCAGATTATTATTCTGTCAGATTTGCATAAAAACATCTTCTGTTCTGTGTGTTAACAGCTGACAGCATACTATATAACCTGTAGCTTGGACTTCTAAAAGTCTGTATTAAGGATGGACACCAACACAATTTAAGTTTGTGTTTCAACATTTTAATGTGTTGTTTTACAAGTATAAAAGAAAACCTATGTTCTGTGTTCTAGATCTTGCATACTCATTTACATGAACAATCCTTACTGAGCAATCCTTTGTGTGACTCAGGACTACTGAAGTGAATGAAGTTTTTAACATTAGCCCTGTACCTTTTCAGTGACACATACACCTGTAACACTTAAAACAATGGTAGACATCACTAATTCAAACACATATCTTTCCTAGCTAGTACAACTCTTCTCCCAGTGCAGCCACTGAGTGCATTGATAATAACACTATCTAGATTGTCACTACCCTGGAAAAATAAAATGCATTTCCTCACATTATAGGACACTTTAGAAACATGAGCTTGTTTGTAAAATACTGGTCTTAATGCAACAGAACATCTTTGTCTCTCCCTTCAGCAGTGGCAGCACCATAAGCTCAGAACATACACAGAGCAGAGATAAGTCAATCAGCAACTGATGCTGAGGAGACATGAGGCACAGCTAAAGCAATGGCACTCATGTTGATGGAGTGTTTAACTGCATTTGGCTGGTATGCACAACTATGGCAAAGCCATGTAACAGCAGTATAACCCAAACAATCTTTTTCTCATAATGGTTTAAATATTCAGGCTTCTATGCATGCATTTGAGGACACTGTTATAAAAATAGGAAGTAATATGGCACATTCTCTAAAAACATGTTTACACATTAGCATCCATCATTAGTATGTGGAGTTAAATGGTACCCACTACATACACACACTGAACTCCCAGCTGCATAATTCTGCTACTATTGGCTTACCTGAAGAATAAACATTTCACTAGCTGAGGTTTGTGAAGTTCCCACTCTTTTCAAACGGCAAATTCACAACAGGACCAGTGCTGAAGTCTTATTTAAAGACTTCCGAGCCCTCTTTATAGTTCTGAAGTACCTCTACACGTGAAACCACCGAAGTTTTACATCTTTGTACATCTGTAGATAGGCAATGACTGTAGTTCACTAATCATCATCTATGAATTAGATACTCAGTTCTAGCTAGGAACACCAAAAAATTGCCCGTGTCCTGAATTCTGAAGTTTTGGAAGCAAAGGACCACATTCTCAATTGCTCCTTCAACTCACTATTAAAAAAAATAATAACAATCTGAAATAATTTAGAAAAGTACATGGAAATACTGTACAGTGCCTTTATGTACACAAGCAGAGAGAAGTACTGACATGTTTTCAAGGAATTCCTTCACCATTCTAATGCTTCTCAGAGAGAGAAACCAGAGCAGAGATATTTGGTGCCTTTCCCAAATACGTGAGCTATGTTCCTATGCTAAGCTCACACCAGAAACTCACATTACCACCCACCAATGATTTAATTGCATAACACACATACATACACACATCAAGCAAATTGAAAAAACATAACTCCATTATAAAACAGAAGTAGGAAGACATTTCATTTACAGTGCCATAAACAAAAAAATAAAAACAGCTTAGCTCTTTGCAGTACTTCATGTGAAATCCCATTACAAATGACTTCAGACCCCAACTTGAGGCATTTCTAATAAAATGGTGTTGATCTGATCCCTACCTAAGAACTTCACATTCTCCATGACAGCAGGTTGGAAGTTAAGCTGAGGCACGAGAAGGTACTTTGAGTCATGAATTATTTTCTTTTCAATAGTAATCACAATGTGTCAAGTAAAGAAGAAACTCAAAGTGCTAAGTAACCAAAGTGCAAAATGCTTTCACTTACTCTTTCTAAATACAGCTGTATTGTTTTGTATTTCCACTAAATTGTACTTCTTGGTTATCCACCCACTAAAGTTTCATCAGTGATTTGCAAAATACAGAAACACTTTCATTTGTGGTGATATAGTGCATAGAAGAAAAAGTCAACAATGTCCATTTTCTTTCTTTCAGACTTCAAGCCAGTAGTACTTACGAGGTAAAAGATGCCAGAGGGTTTGCACTACTGATACCAACCCAGCCACAATACAGAGTCAGAAAGGAGTTATCACAAAAGCACCTGCTTCATATGCTACCAACCGCTCCGACCCCTCCGACAGTCAGAGGAGCATTTGTCTTTTCTAACTTTAGCCATCTGAAATGGAGACAGATAGTCAGATCAGCTGTCAAGACATATGGTTAACACAGAGCAGCAGGTCTTCAGAGAATGATTCATGTCACCTAAGCCAACATTTTCAGAAAGGCTGAATCACTCACTGGAGATATTTCTTGGACAGCCCCTAGCTGACTAGTTCACACTGCTGACCAAACTTGAAGATACCTCAAGCTGTGTGAAGTGGACGCCACCCTAATACCAGAGTATCACAGATTCTGAAGTAGTATTTAAGTGATGTCAGTACACCAAGCTGTTCCAGAACATTACGCTTACTGTGTTAAATTTAATTCCCTTAGTAACGAGCAGCAAATATGAAGAGTAAAATAGTGCATAAGCCAGTAACCCCTCTGTTCACTCTCAGTAACAGTCACATTTCAGCGTTAGTGCTAGCTAATTAGCTGTTTTCTTGGCAATCCAGGCTACTGTGAATTGTAGAAGTCAAATTCTTATGCCACAGAGAGAAGCACTATTTTATCACATTGACTAGAGTGTAGTCTGCAATTCAACCAAAGCAGACCACAGCTATAGTCAGTTTAAAGTCAAAGACTATGCTCTGTGTCTGTGTGAGGGTGACATGCCATAATGACATCCTTTCTGAAATGAAATGCGTTTCCTTCCATCCTCAGATTTCCTGAGTAAGATGAGAATCAGGCTAGATGTTAAAGGATGTCTTCTATAATGATTTTAAAATAGGCACAGGATAATAAACCTATGTGCAAAAATAAAAATCTGAAACAAAAGTCTACAAACAATGACTGCTCTCTATGTCCATACACAGACAGTCAGGTACACGTACCCAAACTCACAGTTTTCCACAAAGGTAGGCTTGTCACTTGTCATGCAGTGTACACCTGCAAGAAAGAAATCCCATCCACAAGACACAATATCCATGAGGCCCAACATTCCCAGCAGCTGATCTGCCACGTTCCAAAGGCACAGACTTGCTTCCAGTTGAACTAGGCATTGGAAGAAACACTTTGATGAGGATTCCCATTCGGAGAATCTATTGTCTTGTTACTGCTCTGTGATTCATCAGCATTTTCAGATGATTTCAAATCCGCTTTGTCTGTCAGGGTGGAGGATTTGGGAGACTTGCAAATAAAGCAGAACATGAAACAGGACAGCAAACCTTCGGTAATGCTAGATGAGAACAGTTTTTTGCATGGGTGGCAGAATTGGTAGAATACCAACATGAAGAGGATAGCCATACAGTAAGCTATCAGGAGCTGCAAGACCAACAACGGGGCGCAGACATATAAGTAGATATCAGTTTTATAGATGTACCACATCAGCAGGAGGAATGCATTCTCGATGAATCTCAGCATATAATACACAGTCAATCGGTACCAATTTTGGGATTTGTTAATTAAGTCAGGATCATTGAGCTTCACCTGCACTGCCGACCAGCAGAACATATTAATGCCTGCATACAAGAAGGTAAGAAGGCACAAGACAATAGTAGTGCCAACCCTGCTCAGTGCCTTCTCTATGTTCTCAGGAAATGGGGACTTGCTTTGCCAGAAGAGAATCCATGGATAAAAGAAAAAACCAAAGAAATTCACTAGCACAACAGGGAGAGTCCAGATCTGAAGGACTGAGCTGAAAAGGACCAACACTGTAACACGTGTAGCAATCTCAAAGCTTCTCCACATGAATATGCAGAGGTAGGCAGCTGGTTTCACACTGACATCATAATCATCGTATTTAATCTTAATAGCCAAGATGTTGCAGCGTAAGGCGCCATATACAATTGACAGAAGAGAAAGGACCATAAAAATACCTACGGAGAGAAAAGACAAACCAGAATGATCAGTTCTGCAGAAGGCATTGCATCACCATAGTGCACAGACGTTGTCTTCACGGCACTTCTGGGGATTCCCAGTAGGGTATAATGCAGAAAAAAACATATCCATTCTGTGTATCCATTTCTGGGTTTTTACTCTAATTCTACCTCCAACTTTGGTCCTCACTTACTACTTTTCCAAGCAGATAAAAGACAGGATGCACAGAAGAATCACAAGCATCTCCCCACCACCAGCGCAGGACTGTTTGTACCTGTACTGTCCTTGGCAATTATACAGCTCCGTTGCAAAACAGGAGAACGATTCTGACCTAAGTAAGATATGGATGTATAGGCCCTGGACATACAGAGTAAACAGAGAAGTATCTCAGTGTTCAGAAGTGCTAGCTATGCTTGGTTTTGTCAGTATTTGCATGCTTCCTTCACAGTTTTTAACAATATGCTGAATAGCTGATTTAGGGGACCAATTTTTAGCGCCTTCATTCAATACTTTCAGTTTCGAACTTTGCACTGTTTGCATGCAAGGAGCACTTCAAATGCAAATCACACAAGACAGTAAAAATGATTTTGTTGTTCGTTTAGAGTTTGAATGAAAGTAACCAAGCTAAATGGTCTCACTACAGAGCATTGTATTGCATCAGATAAAACAAGATAAACAGAATTGGCACTTCTTGATTATGTCAATTACTTCTGTAATGTTTAACAACTAGTGCTTGCCACAGCCTTCAGGTAGTTTTTGTCATTATCCAACACATGAACTGGATTTCCTACTTTGCTATAGCTATTTAACTGTGACTGTTTTTCTTCTAAGTAAAATTAGTGATTTCTGACCATGAGTTTGAAAGAAACCAGTGTATTTAGGGATCTCTGATAACTTTTCACATGATTTTCTCTATCCTTTTAGCTAACCTCTCTCCCATGCATATCATCAAATACTTTGAATTACTTTGGAGAAGTAATTAATTACTCCTTCACATCTGAATTTTAAATAGCACTCAGCAAACTGGAAAGAAAGCCACTTTATATTGTGATTTTGTACGTACCTTATGTTCTCTGAAAATGGTAATGCATTTGCATGTTTCACACCTGCATTTTTAATTTGCATTTTTAAACATCTCTCTTATAGCAGTACAGTTGAGCTGAGATTTTTTAAGCTTTATGCTTCAGAAAACATCATTGTCTAAAAGCAAAAGAGCAATCAAATGGAGCCAAGAATACCACTATGGCCAAAGCCACTCGTGTGGCTCCTTTCAACACCTTCCCTCTATTTCTGTGTTCGTTTGAGAGCTGTGAGAGAACAAATAACCTCTATGAGCTAATTAACCAAGAGAATGCTCTCAGAATTTAAAAACCAAAGCACACAAAACAAGCAAACCACATAAACACACACATCTACTGGAGAAAGCATGCTTCTGTCCTGGAACTCAGCTTGTCTTCTGCTTTGCTAAGATGATAAATCTTACTACCTGATTTCATTTTAGGGATGAATCTCAATCAATCTCAAACTTGCCATATTAACTCAAGCCTTTGAAAAAGGCACTTTTCAATGATACAAACCAGCCCATGCTTATTGTGGTTTAATACTACCACTAGTTCAAACATTGCTTCTAAATCCTGTGATAAAAACAGCTGGAGGCAACCACAAAGGGAAATACCAAAGAGCGACAATATTGTAGCTTTTACTTGTCATGAGCAAACAAGAAGTATCATTTCATAAAGGAAAGTAGCTTCCTCTGGAACAATCCAAAGTCCTCTAACAGCTCCTGTAAACACACCATTGCTCTTCTTTCTGCCTACTCCCAGAAAGTGATACTTCTCTCACGGGTCAGAGGTGTGCAGTTCCAGAATCAATCCAGAAACACTTTGTTGTTGTTATCTTGAATCTTTTCAAGACCCGGTCTTTTCCTCACCTCAGAAGTTGGTAAGAGGGTGATTTCTCCTCTAGGTGAGCCACATCACAAATACAATATTACTATTATCTTACATTCATAAGAATGATATGATTCAGATAAGTGTCTTAGGCTACTTTATATCTATACTGTAATTTTCTAAACAGCTGTTCAGAATCTCTGAAAAATATGGGAACTTTCTTACCTAAAAAACACGTGCAAAACATGAGGATATCAAAACCTTTTCCTTCAGATACGACTTCAACACTTAAAAACTATTAATAATCAAAAACACTTGAAACATGTTCAAACAATGAAAAATGTACTCTGTTGTCAGAGCTTCATGAACTAAAGAAAAGCCACTGTGGAAGTATCTTAAGATATCTGGCAAGACCACCCAGAAAGCACAATTCATTCCTGTTAGGAAAGTGATACTATAAATAGTAGCAAGTTGAAAAAAAAACATATAAACAAAACTTCTTTTCTTGGAGACAGCAGACACTGCTACAATTAAAAGTGTTTTTTTTTTTTTTTTTAATCAGCTGAATAATTTCATTTTTAAATGGGAGGAAATTCGCCTCTTGAGAGTATCAGTGTGAATAACATCAGAGCACTTCATGCTAAACAGTTACTGAGGCTTTATTTTCATGGTTTTTATCAGAAACTTTCAGACTTTATTTTACTTTAGCAACTGTCTTCACTCCTCATCTTACATTCTTGGCAGACAAAGAAATGGCAATTTTAAAGAATGTCAGACACTTGTACGTATCTGATCATCCAGAGAAATTCATGTATGCCATGAACTACAGGAGAAAGACATAGCATTGACAAAGGTTTAGCTAAAGGACTGGCTGTGGTTTAATGTGGCAGGTGACTCAGCAACCACACAGTCCTTTGCTTGCTGCCCCCCCTTGCCAGTGGGATGGGGGAGAAAATCAGGAATAAAAAAACTACAGAGATAGAACTATTTACTATAGAAAAAAGGATAATAGTTAGGTTATATATATAAATGTGTATACATATATATATCTGAATGCATATAAAAAGTGATTTTTATCACTTTTTATAGTGATTGCACAAGTGATTGCACAAGCAATTGATCACTATCCCTTGACCGAAGCACAGCTAGCCCCCCAGCAGTGGAAAAGAGGCAGATGAATTCCAACCCTCTTCAGAACTCCTTCCACATGATGTCCTGTGGTATGGAATATCCCTTTGGCCAGTTTAAGTCAGCTGTCCTGATTCTGTACCCTTCCAAGCTGCTTTGGCTCTTTGGCGTGAACGGCCTTGGCTCTGTACAGCACTGCTTAGCAGCAACTATAAACATCAGTCTGTTATCAACATTGTTTATCTCCTAGAACCAAAACACAGCATCATACCAGACAGTCTAAAGAAAACAATTCTGTCCCAGATGAAACTGAGACACCCACCAAAATATGAAGGTGGTAACAACAGCTCTACCTACTTCTGGCAGCCGTGATCTCCTGCTGCAGGACGCAGATGTAGAGCTGGAGTGTGAGCTGTGGTGCTGAGCCAAGGAATGCCTGGATCACAGAGGCCCTGCTGAATGCAGACCTGTGGGTACACAGCTTGCCTTCAGCCTGGCCCACTTCCTTCTCAACTTCTTCTGAGTACCCATCCTTGGGCATCTGCCTCTTCTTTGTGATGCTGACATAGGGCTCTTCAACTCTGCCGGCATGGAAGTAAATGTAAAAGACTTCCACGCACCTATAAGCAAGTTAGTAAATAGAGCAACAGGAAAACAGGAATTAAAGCATAAGTCTTCTCACCAGTTAGTATTTTAATTCATGACATACTAAGCCATTAAGTCATCTTTTTTTTTTTTTTTTTTTTAAACAGAACAAACCACATTTTCTCCTTTTGGTATATTTGCAATAAGACAGATTTTGATGCAGATGCAAAACATGAACTACTGTGACGAGAGGACAAGAATCTGGGAATGCCCTCTGAGCTGCTAGCAGGAATACTTGAGAATGAGAGGTTTGGTTTGGCCTTGCCTCCTGCTGTCCTATTAAAGTTCTTGGACTACTCATCCCCAGTGTTCACAACTTCCCAATATAGCATTCAAGCAGAAGGTGTTTCTTCAGATTCTCACGTTTTCCAGTGTTAAGTATACAGCTGTGACCAATAAAGCTCCTTCTCATATCTTTGCCCTAAGCAGAACATCTCAAGAAACTGGAGGGAGGCTCAGAGTACAAGTGGGTACAAACACCGCAAACACAGTTGGACTCAAACCTTGCTTTACCAAGCAGTGGTTCCAAAAAAGAGCCAACAAGCAATAGCAGCAGTAATGAGAACAAGCAATTTAGCATCTCACAACTCATATTAGCCTATTTTAAGAAGACACATAAATAGGAGCTTTATTCCTTATGTTTCCTTAGATTTACTGCAACATTTAAGGAACATAATGCCAGTACTGCAAGAATATTCCAAGAAGATGCAGTGTTTCCAGTTGCTGCGTCTCCTTGCTCTTTAAATACAGGTGAACCAAACCCCCTTGATTACATAATGCCAGACATTAATTTTCAAGGAAAGAAAGTACCAGTGCATACATTCCTCTTTATAAATCAGATATAGTTTTAACATGGTTTTATTACGTGCTGCCTCTACCCACATACGGAGAATAATCCATATGTTAGGGGGAGGATGGAAAAGGGCTAAAAGGACCAGCATCAGCAAGTGTTATTGCAGTGAGGGAAATTAGTCAACCTGAGTTCTAAACAAGACAATACAGCCTTAGACAGATTTCTGAAGGTCTCCGAAATTGTCTTCCAATGACCATTTTCAGACCTGGAAAAATTTTACAGACACAATTCTAAGAGAGTTTTGTGATATGGAAGTGTCAAAGATGGGCTTCAGCAACAAGCAGGATCTGAAACACTCAGGGGAACAGTCAACATTATCAGAGGAGTAGTAACAAGCAAGCATCTACTAAGGTATAGGTAAAGAAAGGGAAAAGAAATGCTCTGTTTTTGCATAGGTTCCTGAAGATACGGATCTGTGGTGGAGAAGTGGAGAAGTGGTATTAAAAAAATATTGAATTTTGAATATTGAAAAAAAAAAAATCTCCCAAACACAATGTGGACAGAACATATTTTGTCTTTTATGCCTAACACTTACAGACTTCAAAATTAGAAAGAATGGATGCATGAGCTGCACAGCTAATGAAGGCTGGCTTATGCTGAAGATCTTTCCCAGCTGAGAGAGAACCTCAAGTGAGAGGAAACCCCATCTGTGAGGACACCCTGTGGCTTCATTTCTGGTCACAGCTCTTCCCATGGCTGGACACATATGTCATCTTCTTTCTTTCCAATATGCCTTACTGAGGTTCATCAATTCCACCTGGTTGCCTTCAAAGATAATAGCTGCTGGAATACGGTATCTGAGCCTTCTGTAGGACACATTAAACCCACGAGTTTTTGTAAAATATAAATAGAAAATAAGCTTTATTTGAAGTATCTCACAATTACAAAGCATGGAGTTATGCTTGCCTGAGACTATTACTTTCAACTTCTTTTTTTTTTTTCATTTTTTCTCCCCAAGAACAATTGCCAATTCAGCATCTATGACAGCACACAGACTGAACTGAAAAGCAGCCCTAATAAAAATTCATTTTCCCCCCCTAAATGGGTCACTAGCAAGTTTCAGCTATTCCAGATGGAGGGTAGCTTCAGTGCCCTGTAGTACTGTCCTCGATTCACTGAGCTTCAGCTGCTATCATCACTAAAGCCATGTGATGGGCCTAATGCACTGGAGCCTTCATTCACAGTGATGACTTTCTATTGTCCCCTTGTTAAACTTTCAGTCCCTGCCAGCTTTGTTCCACGTGAAAGCATCAGTACAGCCAAAAGTAAAGTGTGACAAATTAATAAAGCACAACAGCTTATGAACTCAATGCAGATTCTGAAAACAACAAATTGATTCTGTTCCGAAAGAAAGATCCCAAACATTTATAACTCACTTAGTATTCACAGCCATCTATTCATCCACAGTTTGAAGCTATTACAGAAAATGAGATCTCAGCATCAGCCTCTGAACTCTTGCAGTGCATGACTGGAAGCAAGACACGGTCTAGGGACCCATCAGATATGCAGTAATCCCATAAAAGAGGTGATAAGATTCACAGGACTAGTGACTATAGTAAATACTATAGTCAACATAAAAATGGGTTTTGGAGCAAGCACATGATTTTTATTTATTAGCTAGGTATTAAGTAGCTGTACACTGAGTTCCATGTGTGTGATGGGAAATTTTATGCCCATGTAAAAAAGCAAACATTTCCAGTACAGTGTGAAATAAATGGTCTGACCAGCATACCTTGCAGACAGAGGGGACTTACAACTGAACAATGGAGCAATAAAAATGACATGCACAAGGACTCAAATTACCTAAGCAGCGATGCTCATCTTCTCCTGAGCACTAACCACCCTACACAGGAGTGTTTCTGGAGGTCATGCTTTTTGGGGTAAATGACAGACACATTCAAGACTCCAGATTGTGCTACAGCCAAAGCAACTGCTTAGAGGTCTCCTTCAGAATGGGGAACTCCAGAGGAGACCCAATTGCTCATTGTTCATTGCTGCTCAGGAGGAAAATGAATGGGAGATCCCAAGTTCTGCAGAAACTATCCCTCCAAGTCAGGGATGCTTAGGGCCCTCCAAAAGGCACTCATTCATGGCAGAAGGCACTGAACTGGAAAGCTTCTCTGGATGCAAAGCAATGAAAGCCAAGGGCTCAGAAGGAGCTAAAATTACTTCAATATAAGAAAAAAAAAATAAAATTACTCTTAACCAAAAGTTAAGAGGTGAGAAAAAGATGTGCTGCTTTCTCTCCTGCTGACAAATCTTGGCAGAAGGAACAGCTAAACTTTTTCAAGGACACTGATGGTGTCTGCAAAGAGTGATTCAGCAGCAACACATTCATCTTCCACACAGTCTGTAGGAGGAATGATCCCGTCCTTATATGCCTGCTGAGAACGAGCACCTCATTCCCTCTTTGAATCGTGGATGTGTGGGATTTCAATACAGGCAAAATAATGGTGGTATGAAGAGTGTGCAATGAAGATATGGAACTCCCCACCTTTAACAAGTGCTGTAAGAGCAAACATCCATTTGAGAGGTCTATCCAGGTGTGCTCACAACCACTGTACAAAAGGGTTTCTCTTATAACTCCGTTTCTAACAAATTCATTTTCTTTAGTTAGGTGTGCAAAGACTTATTGCTTCTACAGAATTACTTATCTGTGTCAGATAAAGCTCTGCTCCTCACTCATGATCCTACCTTCCATTGCACTGACTCATCACATCCTGGACACCTAATGCATCTGCTCAAGAATAAAGAAAAAAAAACAACAACCTGGAGAGACTCTAAGCATATTCACCCCATCTGGAAAAGAGGGAGATGCATCAACAGTTGTGAAGTTTAGAGCTAGCTGGCTTTCCTAAAGTCCTAGGAAGTAGGAAGTCCTACACAGAAAAGAGTTTTTTAGACCTGTGCTATTCTAAGCTATCAAGCAGGACACAGAACACCCGTAAGGAATAACATTTTGCACAACATGTGTGAAGCATTATCAGTACTTATTTAATTCCAGACTGCTGAATTAGGTGCCCAAAACATTAATGACTGACAATTCCATCCCACCAGCAGTTTTTTACATTATTTTCTTTATTCTTTATTTTCCTGTAGCTCCAGAATCTAACTTTGGTCATACAATCTCCTCTGGCAGTGTTATAAACCTCCTCCTTCTTCTTTGCTGCTGTCCACATGGTACATATGCATGTCATTCTGCTTCTCCTTATGTCTTTAGAAATGAGGTCTGATCCCATCAAAAGTCTTCTGTGTATATCCTTATCCCATTAAACTCCGGGGAAAACAGTCATCAGTGTTTTATATATGGATCTGTTTCATATTTGCTTTGAATTTGTTTTCTCCACAAGAGAAGTTTATTTGGCAGACAGAATCAGCTCCTAATTGCATGCTCCTTGTGAGCAGGACTCTCTACTCAGCTAACAAAGCACTTCAAGACACCAGAAATCACTTAGCTTTCCTCTTCCTTTTCCTCAGAAGGAGGCACCACCAAGCTAACACTAGCCTCTCATCAATATGTCACTCTAGTACTGTCTTCAGAAAGTCAGACAGTAAGAAATAACAACATCCAGCTGACTCAAGGTGTAATAGCACCAACATTGTCAGCCCTGACTGCTCATGCTCACTTGCTAAAAATCTGCATTCTGTAGTTCATCTCCTTACCTATCAATAACTCGCTGAATAGAAAAGGGCAGACAAGTCTTTTCACAAAGAGTTCTTCAAACAAAATCCTAAGTGTGGATCAATATACAAGCAAAAATACATCCAGTTATTATTTACCAGAATTGCTGAAACACTTGAAATCTTGAGACATCATTCGTGCTCTAGGTGCTGTCCAAATGAGCTCAGAACAGAGACAGCCCCTGGCCCAGGAGAAGCCAGCAGTGAGCCAAAAAACTCATCACAATCTTTTCTGAGGAAAAGAAAAACGTATTTAATCTCTAATTGGTATTGGCCATTACTTGAAATCAACTGCTGTGTTGTAATTTATTTTATATAGTAAAAGAAACTCTTCTGGCAAGAGAAATTATCCAAAGATTTTCTAAGCATCCAGGAGCATTACAGCATTCCAAGCTGAAACACAGCAAGACTCCCTCCCAGTGCCTAAAAATCTGCTGTCACCTTGCTGCAGCCAACTACTGCAAGTAATCTTTCTGGCTCTGGAGACAAGAGTGTGGGCACAGAGGCTACTGGGAACTACAGTCTACAAATTGCTCTGGCTTTATAGAGAAACTGTTCCTCTTGGGGAGTGGAAGAAAGAATTCCAAAAGGGCAAGCAAATAGTTCAGGTGCAGCAAGTGTACTCTCCAGGAAGAGTGAAGTGCCCTAATTTCAGTGCAGGACAGCGAGTGCCTGCAGAACAGGTGGAGTGTGGGAGTCTGGGGAAGGTGGTGGCACATAAGAAGGTTTCATAAGAGGATGTGTTTTTTTTCCCCAGTCATACAGAGGATTCAAAATAATCTGGACCATTTGGCTTGCTAAACTAAATATGCTCTCTCTCCTACCATGATACTCTCATACTGTTTTCCAAATTTTTTCCCCCTAAAAATTAAATTGAAATGGAGAAAGATGTCTGACTTTAAAGATTATGAAGAAATCACACGCATACATAGGTTATCTATAAACCAATGCATTGCTGTCTGTATTTGAGTCTGAACAGAAAACCATTAAACAACTCATATCATCTCACAAATCCAAGAGAGATGGTTAAAAAGCTAATGTGAGCTATTTAAAGCCTGCCAAAACAGGCTGCTCTCTATTGAATTATACCATCTTGCACATCCTCCAGGCTATTTAACATTTCCTCCTGATGCTGCAAACGGCCAGAGCCTGGACAGTTCTACTGTTCATGGGCCCTATCTGAATTAATTTAACCCAGCACTCCCAAAAAGGATGCCGAGCTGTGGCAGTGAGGTGCAGGATTCCTGCTAACAAAGGATCAAATGCAGAGGACAGTGTGAGGCTTCATGCTGGGGAGCCCTAGAGACTACTGGGTGTAAGTAGCTTTGAGAAGAAAAGAAAAAACAAAAACAACCAAATCAACATTGGGTAGACACATAAACCAAAAGTCCTTCTGAAACAAGGCAGCAGGTGACTAACAGTAGGGCTCTTCCATTCAAAGTATCACAGATGGGACAAAAAGGCCGCAGGGACATTGTTTCTCTTCAGCTCACAATGGTAAAAGCCATACTGATACCGATAATGCAGCCAAATGCTTTCCTTTTAGCTACTCCCTCTGCTTGCATTCCAGCCCACACAGGACTGAAAGCCTACTGCTCAAATCAGGGAAAGGTGATGTTTTATATGCTGAAAACATGTCAGCATTCCCAGCCCAGACATTTGTTTCCTCTTCTGGCACACAACAGCATTTTGTTGCAGGAGATAAGATGAGAAAGAGGAAAAAAAGACCTTTACTGTCCTCTCAGACCAAGGACTTCAACTTCCCATGCTTTTGTGCTGTATACAAGTAGATGCATTTCTCTGAAGCTACGTTGCTCCAAGAGAGGTTCAAGTTGGATATTGGGAACAATTTCTTCTCAGAAAGAGTGGTGAGGCAGTGGCACAGGCTGCTCAGGGAGGTGGTGGAGTCACTGTCCCTGGAGGTGTTGAAGAACTGTGTGGATGTGGCACTGAGAGATGTGGGCAGTGGGCATGCTGGGGTTGGGCCAACATTGGACTACGTGATCTTAGAGGTCTTTTCCAACCTTAATGATTCTATGATTCTAAATCAGGCTGTTTCCTATCAAACTCTTCCTTTAATTTGTACAGTTCTTTAGCAAGAAGAAAGCTTGTCAAGTGACATGATCATTCTGCCCTCGGTTTATTAATCATTACTCCAGCTATCCTGGGTCTAGGGAGACAGGCTAACATTTCACCCTATACTGCATGTATGCTGCTGGGAAACAGTGACCCAGGAACACTGCAACACTTCTGGAACACTTCCAAGCCTTCTAGAGATCACTGTGATAAAGGAAAACAAAAAATGTTTTTACAAATCTATTAACTGTATGAGAAGGGCTAAGGAGAATCTCCTGTCCTGTTTAACATCTTTATTAATGATCTGCTTGATGGGACTGAGTGCACCCTCAGTAAATCCGCAGGTGACACCAAGTTGGAGGGAGGCCCAAGTTGGATAGGATGGCCCTTCAGAGGGATCTGGGCAGGCTGGTTTGATGGGCTGAGGCCAATGAGATGAAGTTCAACTAGACCAAGTGCTGATTCCTGTACTTTGGCCACCATAACCCCAGGCAACACTACCGGCATGGGGCAGAGTGGCTGGAAAGCTGCATGGAGGAAAAGGATATGGGGGCTGTTGGTCAGCTGAACGTGAACCAGTGGTGTGCCCAGGCCAATGGCATCCTTCTGATACGTGTTTGTATCAGAAATAGTGCAGTCAGCAGGAGCAGAGAGATGATTGTCACCCTGTTCTCAGCACTGGTGAGGCTGCACCTTGAGTGCTGTATTCAGTTTTGGACTCCTCACTACAAGAAAAACATCAAGGCCCTGGAGTGTGTCCAGAGATGGACAATGAAGTTGATGTGGGATTTTATGGGGAGCGGCTGAAAGAACTGGGATTGTTCAGTCTGGAGAAGAGAAGGCTCAGGGGAGACCTTAACATCTCAGTATTTGCCTAAAAGAAGGTTGTGGCGAGGTGAGGGCCAAGTGAGGTTCAGGTTGGATATCAGGAACTATTTCTTTTCAGGAAGAATGGGAAGGCACTGGAGCAGGCTGCCCAAGGAGGTGGTTGGAGTCACTGTCCCTGGAGGTATTTAAAGAAAGGATATAGACGTAGTACTTGGAGACATGGTTTAGTGGGCAATATTGGTGGCAGGTGGATGACAGGACTAGACGATCTTGGAGGTCAATCACTAAGGTCAACCTTAATGATTCTTTGAATGGAAGCAAAAAAATCCTGGAGAAGAGCGATGCTGGTGACTCATATGCACTGCAGCCCACATGAAAATGAGAGGCTTCCAGATGCCCATTGTTTTTACACTAATAACTGCATCTGGGAGTTCACTGACACGGCAGAAAACATTTTCTACGAAAGATATGGCTTGTGTTGACAACAGATAAACTTGCCATTGAAAGGAAATGGAAAGTGAAATCAGGCTTGGTTAAGGCTGAGACAGAGGTCTATGACTTTTCCAGAGAGCTAGAAAGAAAATCTTCTGATTTGTTGCTGCAGGCTCTTTATTTCCTTCTTCACATCTCACAGCTCAACAAGAAATTCATTTGTTCCGGTCTTGACCTCAGGTAACTATTTTAGAAGAACAAAAATCACTAGCAGCCCCTTTGTTTAACTGGTTGTTTTCTCTTTGGTTCCACTCCTGTTTTCCAAAAAACATGCAAGTATTTTGTTGCTCCTAGCTCTTGGAAAACCAGAGCTCCTAGAGAATGTAGTTCATAAACAAGATAGAACCAAGTCCATAGCTCAGCAATCTCGTCAAAACATAAGCAAAAACAAACCACGAGGGTTACAGAGGAATTTGATGTTTTTGTGAAGTATCAGATGTTCTGTAATGTCCAGGCTGCTTGCCTTCATTTCAATCGCAGAATCATTAAGGTTGGAAAAGACCTCTAAGATCACCCAGCCCAAGCAGCAGCCCATCACACCATGCCCACTGCCCATGTCCCTCAGTGCCACATCCACACGGGTCTTGAACACCTCCAGGGATGGTGACTCCACCACCTCCCTGGGCAGCCTGTGCCACTGCCTCACCACTCTTTCTGAGAAGAAATTGTTCTCAGTACCCAACCAGAACCTCCCTGGCACAAGTTAAGGCCATAACCTTTTGTCCTATCACTAGTTAGCTGAGAAAAGTTAGTTTGAGCTTAACAAATCTTCCATCAACACACTGTTGAGGAGTTTTAAAAAGTTAAGGACATCTCTCCTAATACATATATGTATATATTTATTTCCCTTTTCAATAATTGAACATAAATTTAAAATGAAAGCCTATAGCAAGCAATTCGTCACAGGTTTGCATCAGCTTTGCAATTTTTCACCTGATGCTTTTTTCCCTTACTTTGCAATTTTTTGTCTGACATTTTTTTTCCCTAAGGATCTTTTCCATCACAAGTTGAACTTAGGTTGAAAATATTCCAAAAGCCATTTGGGGCAAAAAACTCTCTTTCCGGAAGAGCATTTTCGGTACTTCCAGCACACACAGAGAAGCTCCTCGCTATCCCTGTTTTTGCAATAGAGGCTGAGGGAAGAAATCTTTTCTCTCTTGGAAGTAACCTTGGAGCATGCAGATAGGGATAACACAGCAACGAACAAACACAACCATCGGACAGCTTACCTCATTTGCAACAAAGACATATGGACAAGAAATAAACGCAATATACAACAGAAAGATGGGCAGAAAGGAGGGGAAGAAAGAAGGGAAGAAAGAAGGAAGGAGCACACCATGAGGCTCTGTGGGGAGGAGCTGCCACCAGCCTCTCGGAAGGCACTTAACCTATTTTTCCCACTGCTGTCTACTGAAGATCAGCAACACCGCGCCCCTCTGCCTCAGGACGTTAAGAGCAGAAATAAGGAAAATGCACACGCACACATCTGCATCCCCGGGCAGACGCGGCCGCGGGGCACTCACCGACCTGACGAGCGGCCCCAATTGCAGCAGGTGCAGCAGCAGCACCAGCGGCCGGTCGCGGCTCACGTCGCGGTGGATGAAGACCAGGCTGAGCTGCACCAGCGCGCAGGGCAGCAGGGCGAAGAGCAGCGTCAGCCACTGCCACATGCGGTCCCCCGCCGCCCGGTACGCGCCGCTCAGGCACAGCGCGGTCGCCGTCTCGGCCACGAAGAGGACGAGGGAGATGAGGACGGAACCCGGGAATTTCATCGCCGCCCGCCGCAGCCGCCTCACGCCCCGCGGCCCGGCGCGCCCACCCGAGTGCCAGCGGCGCCCGCAAGAGGGAGCGGCGGCGCCCGCAAACCCGCCTGCAGCCGTAGGGGGGCGGGGGCCGCCGAGGCGCGGCCTGGCCCTGCGCGCTGGGCTGTGGCGGAAGGCGGGAGCCCGCGAGTCCGCGGAGGCTTCTCGTCATCCGAGCCCACCTAGGTGAGCAGGATGGCAGGAGACGCCTTTGCAGTGTATCACCCTGAATCTGAGTCTCTGGCACTACACGAAGCTGGCCAGTCCCGCTGGGCTGGCAGATGGTGCCCGCGCCGGTGTTCAGTCACTGCCACTTCCCTCTGCCTCTCCGTGCAGGCTCTTGGTTCGCGCCCAGCCGGCTCTGGTGCCTCCCTCACAGGTCCTGCATCTCCACCTGCTCACAGGGAACTGCAGATCTGCCAGAGACCTGGGAACTAGCAGTACATAGGAAAGGCAAAATACGGAGTCTGAGATGCTACTAGCTTATTAAGGAGAGAACGCTGATAGCTACGTGCGTGTGCCAGCTAATATTCCTTAATGCTACTGAGGTTGTCCTCGGATTTACTGAAAAAGTGCCAATGTAATCGCTGGTGGGGATGTTTCTTGAACTGCCTTTGCACAGGCAACTGTGGACCCCCATCACTCACCTCTGCTGATGAGCTCAACTGATGTCAGCAGAGGAACCTTGTTAGGGGTGAGCCTGGGTGATTCATAGGCTGATCCAAGGGATGGAACAACTCCCCTGTGAGATCAGGCTGAGGGAGCTGGGGCTGTTCAGCCTGGAGAAGGCTCTGGGAAGACCTGAGGGTGGCCTGTCAGTATCAAAGGGGGGCTGTAAGAAAGAAGGGGACAGACTAGTTAGCAGGGTCTGTCGTGATAGGACATGGGGTTTCAAACTAGGAAGGGGGAGATTTAGATTGGGTGTATGGAAGAAGTTTTTTACAATACTGGTGGTGAGGCACTGGCACAGGTTGCCCAGAGAGGCGGTGAATTGCCCCGTCCCTGGAGACGCTCAAGGTCAGGCTGGACGGGGCTCTGAGCAGCCTGATGTAGCTGTAGGTGTCCCTGTTCATTGCAGGGGAGTTGGGCCAGATGGTTTCTAAGGGTTGTTTGGAACTCAGACAGTTCAGTGATTGTATAATTTAAATGCTCTAATGCTCCTCACTGGGAATGGAGGGGCTTTCTGGAGAGGAGACCAGTGATGCATATTCCACGTAATGGGATAGTAGCTAAGTGAAACTAAACAGCAAAGTGACAAGCTTTAACCTCCAGGCCAAAAGAAGCTCATCTCCTGTTATCTCCTGTGACCATGGGACGGCTCAGATGAATCCCTGTCTGTAGCCTGAATGCTTTACCTCATTATCAGACAAATGATATTACCGTTGATAACACAACACCACTGAAAGTCTTGGAGCTCTGAGTCACTAATGCTTCAGAAAGAAAAGCTGTCATCACCAAAGCTGCCATGGATGATAGAGAATTGACCAATCCATGCAAAGACATACAGTTCAAGGTTGGGCTTTTATTTAAGGCAAAATATAATCACAGCTTTAATATTAATATCATGGATACACACAGTTTGTTCTGCCACTATGAAGCTTAGTATTGTCACTGCTTTTAAAAAGCTATAAAATCTATTTTCTATCATAATCTACAATACAAAACTAATACAATAAACACATTCTGTAAGATCACAGTGTTTAAACATTAGAAGAGCAGGTGTCCTGCTTTTAAACAATAAGGTGCATTTCTAAAGAATCAAATCAATCTTGATTCTGAAGAGACTGTACGACAGTATGGCTGCAAATAGCTATTCCACTGAGACATGAATCTAGGATGTAGCATATACTCAAGAAATCAACACAATATTGGAATATATTGAAGTGTAACTAACAGAAACTGGACATAAAGTAACACCTTTTATTAGTAATGTCATGGAAGTTCCCTGTACTTTTTATTGGTATTGACTTTCATGCATATAGCAGACATTTTGAGCAAAAATGGGTATAAAGTTGCTATCAGATAGGACCCTGTGTATGCTAGCTTTCCTCTTAACATATGAGCAAGTATCAGTAATCCCACGGGACTTGTACTGAGGAAAGTTTGCAGGATTAGGGCCCAGAATGATGCAGTTTTGCCCCAGTTTCACACATGTGGAAGGATGTAACCCTGCATGCCTGAAATCAAATGGAGATTCACCACCGACGTAAGTGGGTTGCATATTTGGCCCCTAAAACGAGAGCATGAGGTCAAATCAGTGGCAAAATTACACCTTTGTTAGAAAACCTTCTCCTTTTGTGTGGTAATGGTAATGAAGACAAAAGCAGAGCTTAATTTCAGGTCAGGCAGCCTTTCTCTTCTATATGAAATAGAATTCAGTATTTGAATAGGATTTGTTTTCTGTTCACTTACAGGATACTATTAAATTCAGGACTTCTATGTGAAATTTTCTGGGTAGTGTGCATGAATGATAGAAGGTTTGGGTTGGAAGCAACCCTAAAGACTGCCTTGGCTCCAGCCCTGCATTGGGCAGGGACACCTCCCATTAGACCTGGATGCCCCAAACTCTGTCCAACCTGGTTATGTATGGACATGCAGTGGTGTTGATGAGTATCACTGCACTATAAAGTATCTTTCATGAAAATACCATTTTACCACTAGGCAAAGTAAGTTTTTAAGGAATTTTCTATCATTTTAGTTGGTATTTCTGCGCTTGACCTAAATGCCTCCATCTTCTCTTTGAGCGGTCACACAATGAACAATGTCAAGAGACTTCCTTGTACACATTAAGGATAAATGCTGTCTTACGTGTTTTCAGACAGACAGCTATTTATGGATGGATTTCTTCCAGAGCATGATTTTTAAATATATAGAGTATAGAACCAACAGTGATGCCAATGACAATACAAGTGATCAGAAAATTTAATAAGTGAAAGACAAGTCAAGAAGTTTGGGCATGTTAGTTTTCTGGGTATTTTTTTTAACTGTTTAAGCATCCATAGTGTACATTTATTCTATTAAATGATAGAAGGCAGTAGGTTTAGCTACAGGCAATTCCTTCATAGGCAGATATTTTTCAGCATATGATAACTTTGCTACAGTGGCAATGACTCAAACTGTGCTATTCTCTTGGAAAATGCCTGTTCACACCCTTAAATTGCTGTCTTGTTTTGGGCCCTGAGCATTTTTGGATTATGGCTTTGAATTATGTTGTTCCCTCAATCATGTGATTTTTGGTCATTTTCTTATTTATTTTTAATTTGGCTTTATGCTGCTTACTGCTTAATCCAGGACATTATATAAACTCAGATATCTTCTCAGAGCAATCGCAAGATTGCTGATAGCCAGCAATTGCTCACCTGTGTATTTCTTCACAGGAAGATTGCTCTTTACAATCCACAGAACAATTCTTACCCCTGATAAACTACTTCCTACAGATTACAATATGCACTCGTGTCAGTGAATATTCAGTCTATGTAGGAGAAGATTACTGCACCTGAGATTTATTTGGCAGACCTCAGAGATGCACTCTGTCCATGGATCTTACAGGTCAAAATTTCAAAAGAAGTAACAAGGATATAGCCTCAAAATGCATGCATATGCTAAAATTGTTCTCTGTTTTCATAAAACATTCAGGATGTTGGCAGATGCTATTACTGTATATGCAGATAATGCTGTAAGTAAAAAAGACTGATTGCTTGTGAACATTTTCATTGTTTGTACCTGTATGTTTCTGAATACATCAGATACCTACCTATATTTTTTCTTTCATAGAATTATAGAGTAATATGATTATGAAGGTTGGAAAAGACCACTAAGATACCCATAGAATTAAAAAACCAAACAAACAACTATTCAATATAATTGTCATATTATCTGTATGTTGATATACTTATTACTAGAACATCAAAGTGGCATTACTTAATTTCACCGAGTAGTGACAACAGTGATCACTTCAGTTGCATTCATTTGTGCATATTTCCCAGAACTATTTAAATGCTTGTTTTGAGATGTTCATCCATTCCACTTATTTCTGATTGTCAGTAGAACTGAGATACAGAGAAGTAAACACACTTCTGTTTTATTTAACGATGCCTGTCATCAATGAAAGTTATTCTACAGTATTATGATTTTTCCTTAGTAGGTAGGAAATGGCCTAGCCAGTGAGAAAAGACCACCTAGGAGTCTAAAAATAATGTAATGCAAATAAGTGGAACACTCCCCTTCAGCAAAATTAATTGATTTAATTTTCAAGAACAAAGGCATGGGCTGCTTGTTCAGCCTTCCAGACTTATTCATAGACTGGGAAAGAAAGGTGGGGAAAGTGAAAGAACCAACGGTGCAAACAAAGGAGATACTGAAAGCAGTAGCACAAAACAAGAATACTGTCATGCTGATAAGTTGTGAATAGCAGGAAAAAATAAAGATATATTTGTTAGAACTGTACTATTGCTGAAGCATATTGCATGTGGCACTACAAGTCCTAATATCACTAAATCTTGACATCACAGATCTAATTTCCTTCAAAATTATTCTACAACAGTAACCTATAGATGGCCTACCAAAAGTCATGAATAGTATATAGCTCCTTAAACTGGTTTGTAATCTACAGCTTTACTCACAGACAGCACCACACGAACACATGCACATCACAAATAAGCACCAGTACCCACACAGTGCATCCTCTTGGCTTTAACAGCATAATCAGAAATACTATGGTATCACTTAAAGTCCTATTGTCTACACTTTAGAAACTTAACAAAGCAGAGAGACTGATGTGCACAGGTGACTTGGTAACTCGTGTTTTACACTTTGAAAGAGGCTTCTGAAGTTTCTGGTAATGCAGTCTTTTGTCACAGCGCTGTGGCAGAATCTATTTGGGAATATGGTCTTCCAGTCTCTTAGGTTTGATTGTGGAGCAGGAGGAAATAGCATCCAGCTGAGAATACCCAGCTAAGGACAAACGATTGATTTCCCCAAGCAGTACAGAGGGAACACGAAGGACCTGATTTTTTTTTATCACATTGAAAGTGCTGAAGGCTCTAGTCAGGTTGCTTTCCTGTCCATGTCTTAATTGCAACAAATTAAGGTTGCAACAGCATTTATGTAAACAATTAAAAAAAAAAAAGTTGAAAAGGAAATTGAAGAATATTAAAAGGTGAAAACCCATGTCCACTTAATGACTAATGAGTGGCAATTTCAGAAGAGGCTTGGAGTGTATGGACGCTGTGTGCAGAAGCTGTGACCACAGCACATCCCATCTCCCCCTCATCCCAGCCAGGTCAGAAAAGAAAGCAACAGGGCTATAAGAACCAGCTTTAACTGCTACATCTGTTCCAAGATTTTACAAGATGTATCCCGTGAGACCAGGTGGTTTTGTTACTATTATTTATATCATAAATGATCTGAATCTTCTCTCATCTAAATCTAAAGGAATGAATCCTACAGAGACGTATTGTTTATGGTAAATTTTAACACCTGTGGTATATATTACAATGTCAGCATTCGTGACTTGGACAGGGTCTAAATTACTGCATTTATTTATTTATTGTGCTGTAGATGTATTGAGGTTTTGGCAAAGATTTCCTTCTCCAAGCCTCTCCTGAGAAAAAGAAATCTAACTGGATGCAGTTAAATGCTGTGGCTTAATGATAATTAAAAAGTAGGCACTGGGAACAAAATCAGGAGGACATGATTACTGTGCTGATAGGTGTAGATTCTGTTAAGGCTTAAGTTCAGCTTAAGTTTTTTGACTATGTGGTTATCAGGACACTAGGCCTTGTAATGTTTGCATCTGTAAATAGAATACTTGGCAATAAGTGTAGGATTGCAACTGCCTGAGCCCAATCACATCAGAACCCAATCTTACAGTAAGATAGAATCTGAGTACCACTACCCTAGAAGACAAATGGAGACTGAAAAACTAATGATCACAGGGAAAAAGTGAATAGACCAAGTGTTACCTTCCTTAAGAACTTGTTAAAAAAGGTTCCAGCTATAAAATAGATTATCCATCTGCGTTACAGAAAGAAACTAGGTAAGAATCACAAAGGGCTTAGGATCTGACTGCTTATCTAACAGGTTCATTTAAACATGGCTGGGCAGAGCACAGGGACTTTCCATTCTCAGTTAAGCCTCACATGTAAACCCCTCTATGAAATACATGCTCCTATGTGTATGCATCTTGCTGCTCACAGTGATGAAGGAAGTGACATTAATGGCTTTCTTAAAAGACCCTTTATCCCACAAATTATAAACCCATAACATCTGTATATTGAATTTTAACATTCATCAAAAGATTCCCAAATACTTGATAAGCTGAACTGCATTACTTTTGTCACCAAAGAAATACGATTACTTCTATGATTTGGTAATTAATTAAAGCTGCACAGTGCAAAACAAATAGCAAAAATATTAATCTGCAGCTCATAGTAATGCAAGTCATCTTGTAATGAGTGGCATGAATAGGAATGGAATTAGTGTATTAAAATGCAGCAGGATTGCAAGACTTAGCTCTATCTTACAGCCTGATCAAGCCACTGAAATTAAATGGGAACTTCAATCCATTAGGCATTAAATACAAGGAAACTGTAATCTTCTCCAGCTGAGAATGCAGGAAGAGAGACTGCAATGTTCGGCAGTGCACACAGGTCAGTTTTTTCACTCTAAATGCAAAGTTTTGAAATAGTGGCCTTCCCAATATGTCCTCAAAGATAATTGCATTACATTATTCCCATATAAATAAAAATAAATAAAAATAGTAAAGATTTTTAAATATAGGTTTTGTTTTCATAGTTTTTCTACTACAAATCTATGCTAGCATTTTCTTTAGCTTTTAATTATCATTTCATAAATATAATATATATGAAACAGTATAATTGCAACCTTAAGTGCTAGTGCAACTAGTGTGGAGGAGATCATTTATTTCTACAGCTACAAGTCATTTGGGCACATACATTGTTTTGTTCACCAAGAGAAGCAGCAAATTGAGTTTTTCTGTCAGGTTTTTCTTTAGCTCAGTTTGCCATCAGAGGTTTGCATTCAGTTTTCAGGGCTTGGAATGAACAATTCATTGGGAAAATTGTTCTTCTGTTCTCTGAACTACGTATGTTATTGTTCAGAAATGCTGCTCAAGGTAATTAATTTTTAAAGGAAGCTTTTGTATCACTGAACAATACCTATCCTAGCAATGCTGTACTGTGAAGAAGCATCTGCCGGTGGTGTCTTTGCTATGTAACTTTTCAATCCAAGTCTCCACGGCAGCACTAATTATCCCTACAGAAGGGAAAGTATTGGTAAGAGTGCCACAGTTGGGGTAAACCAGTAAGGAGACCAGCTCCTCACCACAGACTGAGCTCCAAAAGGAAGGGCCAAATTCAGTTCTCATTTACACACATGAAACTCTACTCAGTGAAATAAATGATCCTTTGAAACTGCAGGCTGCATAAATAGCTAGCTACAGAACTATCCTTACGTACACATGAAAAGAGCTCCAGGATACAGCTATTTCTAATACATGGCACTAGTACTAGTAAACATGGTCGAGGTACAAAATCCCAGATTTTGCCTTTGTGCAGTGTAGTGACACGTCTACAGCGCCCTCCCTGGAAAGTGCATCACTGCGTAAAGACTTGCTTTTGCAAGTTTCCTTTTCAAACATCCTGGATGTATCATTTTGTTTCTTCTTTGCATGTCCCTTAATTCTAGCTTGCTTTTTCTCCTGTGTAGCCACCAAATTTGATAAACCAAGTTTGATAATGCTCCTTTCTCTATCACTTAAATATATTTTACTTCTTTACAGATAAATATCTACCCCATCAGATTCAACCCCTTCCCCTTTTTTGAACTGACCCCACCCCCCTTTTTTTTTTGCTCACATGCTTCCCTTACCCAAAGCCTAAGTGAATTTACTTTCACCTGCCTCCCAATTACATTAAGGCTAGCATTAGTGGTACCACTGGCTTGTTTTGGAAATAGCCTCTCACAAACAGGTGAAACCACAGGTGCCTCTCCCATTGCCACAGGAATGCAGCCCTGAATGATGTTGTTCTCTAGACAAAGACACTGAAGAGAGGAAACTCGGCTTGATTGGGCTGCAGCAAATCAGTCAGGAAACACACAGTCCCCGAGAAGCCTTCATACAGACTATATACACTTTCTAGTGCCCGGGAACCAGCCTTAAATTCCTCTGTAAATAAGAACTCTGCAAACCTAAGAAACAGAAGAAAAGATGATGATTATTAGTATCAGTTTAAACACGTAGGGTTAATCACAGAAATAGGAAATCCCAGAAGGCTGTTCCTTCCCACCACCCTGCTCCCCTCAACAGCACCCACTGCAGGCAGCCTGACAACAGCACTGCACGTGATGCTGCAATCGCAGGCCCTAAGCAGCTTTGTGAATGTTCTTGAGACTTTCTGGTATGACCCTGAACGCAGGAAGTTAGAAATACTAACCTTTGAGCCCTGTAGATGTATTTTGAGTTTCCAGTGAGCCTATAGAGCAGCAGGAACACATAAGCACTACCAGCCACTCCATGGCATATTCCAGGTCCCTTCTTCAGCAGGCCTTTCTGCCAGGTTAGCTCTCCACAACGGATACAAGTGTCCAGGTACTGAGGCTTCTTGGAAACCAGGTAAGCTTTGGCAAACAGATATGCAATGCCTAAGAAAGCAGCAGTGAAGAGTCTTTTGTAATAAGTAGGCCACGGCTTCCATAGAACGCACAATAAAACAAAGATTAATACATAAATATATAATAGATTGACATAAAAAACCTGCAGTCTCATGCTCTACTCATATCAATGTTACATGTCTACATATGATGGGTATCTGGTAGGCTACAAAACATATGATAAGACAAACTTAAGACACTCCCTGTGACACCACCGCTTTCAATCTTCTCAAAGCAACACTTAATTTCCAGTTTTACTCTGATATTCCCAATCCTTTAGCACATTTCTTTAAAATAGGAAGCACTCATCACAGTGTTCTGCCCATTTCAAATCCCCAGCCACCTTGTCTCTTTACATTGACAGAAACACAAGGATGGGCAAGACGGGCAATGCAGCTGTAGTGGCAATAGGTACAATTTTTCACTGAATTAGAAAAAAAACTTGTTATAAACAGTTATGAATACTAACCTCATTTAAAAAAAAAATAGCTATTCAGCTTATTTTTTGAGAAGATTCAAATAAATTGATCATAATCTTCAACAGAGCACGGCACTGCTTAGTTCACGGCAACCTTAAAAGAATATGTATGACCAAATCAAGCACCTGAGCAAGGGAGCATTCTGAATAGCTCACTAGTGGTCTGAATATAATACACCAAAGTAATTGGAGAGTGTTCTTATAAGCTACGTGCGCTTTATTGCCTATGAACAATGCTAGGATGCAGGATTTTCTGGGAAAGAACCACAGTAATTAATGAATTTAGATGTCTGCAAATGTCTTCTGAAGTAACTTCTCTATGACCTTTGCGATTTTGTCACCTTGGCTGAGTCTCACTGCATCTCTCCACTTATTAATAAATCCATGTAAAAAAAGTCATGATATTGAAACAAAAAGGGTATCTTCCCTGCAGATTTCCTCACTAGACCAGCCACGCTACAGAAGTCACTTTTTTTGTCTTAAAAATAAAAAAAAAAGCTTGATAAGCTAAAGCTGTTTTCATGTCACTTCACGAGAGTGCAAGAGCAAGAAGATTGCTCCTTCATCATACCAAAAAGATAAGACACTAACAAAAAGCTCGTTTGAGGGATATTAACTAATTGTGTACTTTTTGAAGTTTAAATAGGAAACCTTGACAGGCAATGCCTCAGTGCTCATGGTCATTCTTGAACAGCAGTCAGCTTCTCTGTAACCTTCTAGGTTCATGTTACAAAACCAATAGGACTGGTCAGCAATAAAATTCTGCCAGTGGGTGAAAGAGCAATTTCAACACACAGCATTCCTTGTGCAAACTGCTAGGGTACTGACTAGATTCTGAACTGACAGGCATCAGCCTTAACTCATGAGTCCAAGCTAAGTATTCTCTTTCTCTTAAAAGCAGTTGTATATGGATGCCTTTTTTTTTTAAAAAAAAAAAGCCTCTTGCTAGTACAAAGTCCCCTTCACATGCAAATATATCAGTCAATTTAATGTATCTCTGTGTAATGTGCATAGGCTTAGCCTTTGATTCTGATGAGGGAAAAATTCTTCTGAATGCCTTCTCAATACTCACACGTGTGCCTGCATCTGTGTATTCCAAAACCCCAGAACTCTTTTAGCTTTGATCACAAATGCTAATAAAATAGGAAATATTCCTTCTAGCTGCTTTGACAATAAATAAAACAGTTTTAACTGACAGAATAAATAGTTCACCTGTATCTCATAAAATGTCAGTATCAGTCAAATTTAACCTGAGATTATCTTCTACATGGAATCACCAAATGTAGAGAAACATTGGGCCATGCATAGCATCAAATGGAAAAGAACCTGGAGCTCCATGACACCAGTGAACAAGCTCATTCTCCCGCTCGATCGTCTCCCCCAGCTCAGGAGGCCAGTTGCTATTCTGCTCTTGGTCCATGAGAAAGTCAACACTCTGCCACACAAGCTCCTGATCTGCTGGCTGCAGGTACTCAAAATAGGAAAGTAACATCTGAAGGATTGATGAAAGTCCATGTGCTGCACCTGTAAAGAACAGCAACAGTCAAAAGGAGAAGGGATGTTTAGGTCCCACCTCCATCCCCTTGTATCTTTCTTTGGGGACTGATTTCATTGTCAAGTGCATGGGTCTTTAGTCTTCCTCAGGCACATTACAATGGTGCTTGGAATGAAAACACTTCAGTTGCATGACACAGTTATTTGTTACTGCTTCAGTCTTTTCCAGCTCCCAAGCTAGGTGTGAAAGCACACTCTTACTGTGCTATCTGCTTGAATATTTGCTGCTACACTTCTTTCCAACTGGAGCTGATTGTGCCTTGTTAGACACAGTTGATATACCTGCAGAGAAATAACCTCAATCACAACTCAAACCAAACTGGAACCAGACTGAGAAATTTAAAGGTTCAATTATCCTATTTCACAATAATGATAATTAAACACTTTTTTCAAAGGTTTAAGAATAAGAAACATCACTTTTAGGAAAGGAAAACATCTTATCTTACTCTGGAGAAATCCCACACCATAGGCTTTATAAATTTTATTTGTAAACCATCTCCTGTCTCAGCATCTATGCACTGCATCACTGCCAAGGCAGATATGTTCTACTCACCAAGATACTCAGTTCCATAGTAGGAATACATGAGTGGGAACGGTTTCCTCTTCTTCACTGCGTATTGCTTTCCTGATTCCAGAATGGCCAGGCAAATTGATTTTATTTGTGCTGGGGTCAGCACCTAAGCAGAAAAATAAAAACAAACGTAAAGAATACTATAATAATTTTGGACAGTTTTCATGACTCTGCTTTTTTCCCTGGTGCACAAGACAAAGTACTGCCTTCAGTCTTCTGCGCATGCTGTAAGGTACGTTCCTATTAAGAGCTTCTTACATAACACAGTACTTTTACATGTTTCTCCAAAATAGTTTCATCACATCTTAGGAAAGCAAAAATCACATCTTAGATCATAGAATCACAGAATCATAGAATGGCTGGGGTTGGAAGGGATCCCAAGGATCGTCAAGATCCTCTGTCCCACATAGGGCCACCAACCTCCCCAGTTAATACCAGACCAGGCTGCCCAGGGCCCCATCCAATCTGGCCTTGAACACCTCCAGGGACGGGGCATCCAACCTCTCTGGGCAGCCTGTGCCAGTACCTCACCACTCTCTTGGTAAAGAACTTTCCTCTGACATCCAACCTAAACCTTCCCTCCTTGAACTTAAAACCATTCCCCCTTGTCTTATCACTGCCTACCCTTGTAAAACAGTTGTTTCTCCTCCTTTTTATAGTCCCCTTTTAAATACCGGAAGGCTGCAATGAGGTCACCCCGCAGCCTTCTCTTCTCCAGGCTGAACAAGCCCAGCTCCCTCAGCCTGTCTTCATAGGGAAGGTGCTCCAGCCCTCTGATATCATCTTTGAGGCTCTCCTCTAGACCCCCTCCAAAAGCTCCACATCTTTCCTGTAGGGGCTCCTGTGGGAGCCCCACACCTGGGTGTAGTACACAGATGAGGTGAAAAGAGGCCCACTAAGAGCCACTGCCTTCCCTTTCCAGAGGTACTTCAGCCTGATGGAAGCAGACAACAAGCACCAGACAAGATGCAAGAAACAGAATGAAAAGGCAAAGGAAAGCAGTCCTAGAGAAGTAAATATTACAGGCTTCACTGGGAAATACAGAGAGAGACAGATTTTCCTTTAAACAATAAAAAAAGAGGAAGCAAGGAAGAGGGTATGAAACTACTGAAAATCATGGAACCTACATATACATATGTAGGTTCCAAAACATCTTACTAAAGAATCACCCTTTCTTACTTCACAGAAATGCTAACAGAAATGACCAGCTGTATTTACTGGATGTTGTCATTACAAACAGGTTAACACCACCTTTCTTCTAATGGAGTGCTAAGAAATGCCCCACTCAGCAGTGTCAAACGTAAATAGGATTGACAAGCCATATATTTTACCAGACATGAAGTATTCCAAGTAACTGACTCAAAGTATTCAGTGAGGAATCTCTTCTGCAGCACTTAACTACAGCGCTAATGATACGCAACTCACTGCAATCATTTGCATGTCCCCCTGCACGTTCTTGACAGCACTGAAGTCATTAACATCATTCAGTGCTGTAGCATTTTGGCTTTAGCACAAAGCCTGCATGGCAGCCATGTTCTGCAAAAAATACATTTTGACTTATGAAAAGAGCTCTGGGAAAGAAAAAAATAAAAAGTAAAATGAGGCAGAAAAAAGCCGTAGAAATACCCTTGAAAAGATAACAAGATAGATAATAATCCTAAAGCTAACTGAGCTTATCAACTTAATGTCTCTAAAATGGCTACGAACACATTTGCTTTTGTTGTAATTTTTAATATCAGAGGACTCACGATTAATTCGTTTTTAAAACTGCCACCTGCGTTAAATTTGGAGGCAACATTTGTTATAAAAATATATACTTCTGTTTGGCAATGAAAAGATACTGTGGATAATCAATGTCAGTTAGAACTTGGCTGAGAAATAATGACTGAAAAATCTTGTTTATCTATCTTTGTACAACTTGAAGAAGAAGCCAGTTCTGATCTTGATTAGTGTTCTTTAATGTTACTGCAGTAGAAGTAAATAAGCTGTTAACATCTGGACATTTCACCCATTTCCAGTCATCTTAAGATTAATTGTTTCAGCTTCACTGAATTTCATAATGGCTAAAATCCTAAACAAATGAGCAGATCACAGACATGGCGAGACACACCGCATTCTCTCCTGACTTCTGATTTAGTCTTGCACTTGGGACCTAATCCTCCAAATCCCGGACTTTGTCAAAGGATTAGTAAAGTAACCCTTGAAAAATGAAAGTGAAGGCTAAGATCTCCTTATTGTCATTCTGGAAGGCAAAAGCATGCTGATTAGAGACACTGAGATCAGTTCATTTTCTCCATGTGATTGTAATAAATGAGCTGGATTTCAATATAAACCATGTTTGATCAACTTATTTTTATGTTCAGCACATTTAATTTTAAATTGAATTAAAGACCATTTCAAAATGCTAATTGTGGTCTTTAAACAGATTTTTACTTCTACCCAAATCCAGCACTGCACAATGCTGTGTAAAAAATCTCAGCTAGTAAGAACTGCATCATTCACCATATTTTAATAAAAGGTAAGTGTAAAAAGCAGAATGCTTAAGCACTGTGATTACTTATGTGTATGCACAAAGTATATCCCATTAGCTGGCACAGTAATATCACTTCACATATGCAAAGTCAGATAAAAACTGAATACTGAAAATCATGATTGGAATGGATGATAGAAATCAGCACATCCACATGACTGGATGAAATGGAGAAGAAAATAACCCATATATTTTGAAAGCAACCTTCTGTCTCTGGCCACTCGAATTGGCCTATAAGCATGAGACAGGTAGGAGATGTGCACTAAGAGATGAATAGGAACATTTCTGTGCTGACTCCAAATATCTCTTCCCAAGCACCTCGATTCACAGGCACCGTACGCAGAGCTGCTATTTTCCAAACCCCTTGCTACACAGATTTGTATTTGTTCCTTGTTCTAGGAAGCTATTAACTGAGAATAGAGACTCTCATAATAATTACTAGTGGTCTTCCAAGGATTTTTATGATCTGTTATCATATTTAAGATCTCCACTGCCTTGCTACATTCTCTTTCAACAAAATCTGTGTTAAAAGCTCCTCAGGATTTCTTTCATCTTGCCACAAATCAAAAACTATGGGTGTTCTCTGTATGCTCCCTCACAGCACCTCCAAAAACAGCTGAAAACATGTCACCACAACAGCCATCGGAGAATACACGGATCATAACCGCAGATGGTTTAACCGCCATGCTACAAAGTTCATTTTCATTTCAATGGAGTCACAGTGCCAACTCGCCTCTGGGAATTACTGAACTAATATTAGAGACAGCAAAGAAACAGACCGATCTTCCCAAAGCCTTTAAAGGATAAACTGCATACTGCTGTCACATCCTCTGGCAAAACCTGGATGATGCTTTAATGAAGAATTACATCAGCATGAGAATATGCTGCCCAGAAAAAAAAATCATGCACACATCAAGCTTCTCAAGCTATACTTTTTATAAATTTGAATGGCATTTACTATGTGCATACTGCAGAGCAGGTAGAATTATTCTTTATTATGTCAGTATACAGCCAAAAGACTACTGACACTGAGACATACACTGCTGATGGCTTAATATTTCAGCTAACTCTTTTCGTATTTTTAATGACATCTAAATCCATTCTGTCATCTTAGAAGTGTTCATTTCAGCTCCCCCCCTAGATCACAGTTTGAAGTACATTTGCAAAAGTATTCCACATTTCACCTGCATTTACATCACTGCACAGCGATGCTGGCTGCTGTTAATAAAAAAAGCTCCATTCACAGTGGTGACAGTGAATTTCCATTCACCTTCCTTCTACTTTAAGCACAATAAGTGAGCAGTACTGACACTCAGTATTTGAACTGTATTGTCTGTGCTCTGGAGCCCTACTTAGAGTCACCAATACTGCTGTGATTGCTTCCATAGTGTCTCTGCTTTTCTCTTATGTCACTACAGACAATGTGCATCCTTCCATTAAGGCATTCCACAGATATGTGAATGACTTAAGCCAGGTACATTATTCAGCAAATCCACGCTAAGACGCAGCATGGAAAGGCTATGTCTAGAACAGTCACAGAGCTCTTTTTGTTGTTAGAGGTCTTTCTCAACTTGAGACTGTTTAGCTGGAAGTAAATAACTCCACAGCTCCATTTAATCTGCTAAGAGAGATTTACTAATATACTAAGACAGTGCTGTGCCCTAGATACGTGTTTCAAAAACTGTGGACAGAAATCTTGACCTTGACAACACAGCAGAAAGCAGCAGCAGAACCAGTTTTTCATTGCTTCTGATTATAATAACATTTTCTGCACTTTGTCATCCCTCTGAATGCTCAGTACAAACCGATAGGCTTTTTGAAAACCTACATAAAACTGCACACTGTATTGAGCATGTTTGAGGACAGTAAACTTTTAATTCACCAATACATATTTATTTTCTCAGTGCTTTTTCCTGTATGTGCAAAACAGAAGGCATTACTGAACACCAAGCATCGCCAAAATAAGCTGAAGAAATTGAGTCAGTCTGAAAACAAGAGGACAGCAGCTTTGCCACCAGTCTCATCTTCTGGAAGACCAGCAGAGGGAGCTTGTGAATTAGTTGTAATACTCAAAAACATTTCAACGATGCAAACTGCTATTTGGCAGACAGCTGACTGGAGCAGAATGGTGCTGGAGCCAGCCTGATATTTTAATGACAACTTACTGCACTACGTGGCGTTTAAATTCAGTTTGCTGAGGTTGATCCTTTTCTACCAAAGACAGGGCTTAGAATTGTTCAGGAACCTTTCCATGCAGTGTCATGGCCAGATTTTTCTTTCAGATGATGCTATGAAACCAAGGAACAGTAAAAGGTACAGGGACACATTTGCTGCCTGTCCACAATGTTCCAGACCCCCATTGCTGCTTTTGGTTAATGTGTCAATTTTCATTTCTTTGAGTCTTGTTTTTATCATCAGCATGGCAACAATATCAGTCCTATCCTATTACGTGGGTGCATGAATCAGATTATTGGTAAAGACAATACATCACTTTTATTATCACTAACAGAGTAAAAAAAATTCCACGGGTCTCACTTGTCAGAACAATTATATTCTGCAATTAAACCTCTCCTTTA